ATCTCAGAAATACAAATTAAAAAATATAAGTTGCCATTCTCTTCACTGAATCCCCAAACCCGCAAATTACATAATTTCAGTGTATATTTCACGTTTCATTCTCGATCCGATGACATTTTAATATAAAACCGGATGCGGGTACGCGCAGACACTGCCTTTTTTTTTTTTTTACATCTTTTAACAAACTTTACAAGTATTTTCCGTACGATTTTGATTGAAAAGAGAAGCGAAGGGTACCAAAGGGACATTCAAAATCATAAGTCGAAAATAAACTGACAACTACATTGCTAAAAAAGAAAAGACCAACAAACAACAGTACACAAAACACAACATAGAAAACTAAAGACTGAGCAACACGAACCCCACCAAAAACTGGGGATGATCTCAGGTGCTCCGGAAGGGTAAATACATCCTGCTCCATATGTGGCATCAGTCGTGTTGCTCATGTAAGTACTAACCCGGTGATTTGTACATAATTCAGGCTGATAGCTTTTTCATTTGAATTATTTTACATTCGTCATTTCGGGGTCTAGTAGCATTATAGCTTTTAAACAGTATGGGGTTTGCTCATTGTTGAAGGCAGTACAGTGACATATAGCAGCTACCTTCTACTTCATTTGTTCTCTGGTGGAAAGTTGCCTCATTGGCAACCATACCACATCTTTTTATTTTTCCCAGACTAAATACAATTGTTGACATCACCTAAGCAGACAACTGAAAGAATATTGCTATGTCTAGCTTCCGTCAAATTCTTTGCAGGAATGACAATAAAATACAAAATATGGAAATGATGCTTTGTTTAGAAATAAATGAATACGCATATTGGTGTAGAAAATGATATTGAAATGTATGGAAATCACAGCTGCAATATAAAATTCAAACGGTCATATATCAGTAACATACGTCTAGTAGCAGTGTATTTTACAGTTCAACAACTGATACCATAAAAGAACTTCTCAATGTAATAAAATGCATTAGAGCTATTTTCCTAATGCTTGTAGTTTAAAGGTTTGGTTGGCTTGCTTGCTTTGTTTGTATAAATGTTTGCTCAAACATTATAATTAAGATTGACATCTGCAATCAATAGATAGGCGGGGCTTCAGCTTGTATACATTATACTCTGCATTATACTTAACATCCAATAACATTTAACAATAACTCCTTGTTGAAGTGCGTCAACATGGTCAAGTGACCTATAGTTGTTTACATCCACATATTTTGGACTCTGGTGGATAGTTGTCTCATTGGCAATTACACCACATCTCGTTATTTTTACATGGCAAAAACATATTTTCAACAAGGTATTTATTTGCCACATTGTAACAGAGTTGATCCTAGATCACATTCAAATACCATGAGCACTAAAACATCATATTTTACCTTAAAATAAAAATATTTTCATTTCATTTCATTTTATCTATTCATTAACATGGAAAGCAATCATTTAATGTCTTCTTCACATAGTCGACAAAGTATCTCAAAAATTCTCATATTGAATATTAATTTATCAATTATTTATAATACAAAGATTAATTGACTTAACACAATAAAACAATTGTTTAAACCAAAGGTAAACAGATAAAATTAATTTCTTGTGTAATACAGAGCTAAATAAATAATTCATTAGCATTAATAAATCAAATATACAAATATATTCAACAGGAAAAAAAATACACAACATATAACAAATAAAACAAACAAATCTAAAACAGTGAACTAAGAAAAAACAAAGTAATGCTGTACTTTTTACAAATGTAAATGTTGATTTTTATAAATGCCCATAATTCACAACATTACAGTTGAATTCAACTAAATAAAGTGAAAATTCCACAACACAGAAGTCTTTGGACAATTATGATAAGTTAACTGTTGACATTGTTGGTTAGCAATAAAGTTTGTCAATTACTTCCTCAATATTGATTGTTTCCTTTCCTGTTCTGTTCCCTAAATAAAATATTTTCGTAATTTCTGGAAATAGTAGTTTATTAAATCTGAGAATTCAGCCAGGTTTCCTTATTGTCAAAGTAGAAAATCAAGTGTAAAAGATCTCAATTTTTTATCAGTCTTTGAAAAATTTTGTGTATGGGAAACTTCAAGAAAGTTTGTTCGACCAAAACAAAAGTTATGTCAAATGAAAGTGTTGAATACAGCGTACATGGAAACAATGTAAAATGAGTAAGTTATAGAATTCTCAAACTCTAAGCTGTTAATTCATAAGATTTCACAGATTTGTACAAATATTTTGAAAAGTGATATATTCAATCAAACAATAAAAAAAAACAAAGGCATACAGTAACATAAAAAAACACGAGACATTACTTATACTTCAGGTAGAAACTACAATGATGAAAAACAAATGAACTGTATTTTCTAGTCAGAGGTTCAAAAAGTGATCAACATACTTGTACAGATGTAGTGAGTATTAAGACTTCAAAGTGGTATTTAATATCTTTCCAATAAATTTATGAACTGCAATCAGTTGAGTACATACTAGTTATCTACCAAATTAAACTTGTAAGACTTTATCTTATATTATAATATATTTACATTCTTCTTCCATACAGACATTGTTACAGTTTTTCTTCAATGTATAAATTTAAGAACTGTACTCAATTTCAGCATATACTAGTTAAATACCATTTATTACTTTTACGACATCATTATATATATACACGTAGTATTACTTTTTTGCAGTCTTTAATGGAGACGTAACAGTTTTTCATGCATGTCAGTGTTTAAAAATCAGCACATTCTTTTCTATAAAGGTATTCTACAAGTTCAGAAATTATTGTATGCATTTATTATTGCCACTTTTTAAGAATGAACAAAAATGCAAGATCAATTTTTGCCATTTCCAGAAAACCTGCATACAGATTCATTGTATATCTATCAGATATCAGAACACCAGTTCTTATTATTGTGATACTCACCTGGTCGCATTATTCGCATTAATAAAAAATTCAACTTGATCTGTGTTTTATCAGTGAAGGCAAAATTAAACATTGCCTTGTATATAAAGCACTGATTGTAGTTGATTCAACTATATTCATGGACAAAGGAAGATAACTCAAATTTTAATAAAATGCTTCGCTGAGCGCAGCCTGATACGACCGCAGAGGTCGAACTCTGAACAGTTGGGGCAAATTTGGACACAATATTCAAGCTTGATACTGTCTGAATTTGGATTGTAATCAAATTTTTGACATAATATAGGTTTCTGACACAAAATAAATGTGGTCAAAGATCTTATAAATCCATTGCGCAATACTGTGCAATTGAAGATTTCTTCTTGAAACTTTTAAAAAATTCGAAATTTTGAAAATTTTGAAAAAAAAATATGAATCCCTTAAAAAAAATTGGGAAAAAAATCCCTCCCCCAACTTTTTGAAACCCCCCTTGGAGCAATAACGCCAAAACTCAATCCCAGTCTTTCCTTTGTAGTATGGAACCTTGTAGTACAATTTCAGAGAGATCCATACACTTACACACAAGTTATTGTCTGGAAACTAGAAAAATGCTTGTTTTTGTCCCTTTTTTGGTCCCTAATTCCTACATGTTTGGAGCAATTAAGCCCAAACTCAATCCCAGCCTTCCCATTGTTATATGGAACCTTGTGGTACAATGTCAGAGAGATCCATACACTTACACACAAGTTATTGTCTGGAAACTAGAAAAATGCTTGTTTTTGGTCCCTTTTTGGCCCTTAATTCCTAAACTGTTGGCCCCATAACCCCTAAAATGGGTCCCAACCTTTTACTTGTGGTATTAAACATTGTGGTACGATTTCAGAGTAATCGAATTCTTATACACAAGTTATTATCCTGAAACTAGAAAAATGCTTGTTTTGGACCCCTTTTAGGGCCCCTAATTTCTAAACGGTTTGGACCATCATCCCCAAAATCAATCCCAACCTTCCTTTTGTGGTATTGAACCTTCTTAAAAAATTTCATAAAGATCCATTCACTTAAACTAAAGTTATTGTCCGGAAACCAAAAAGACGATGACGACATCATACCATTATACGATCCCAAAAAAATTTTTGCGGTCGTATAAAAAATTACTTGAACAATGACATCATTGATATTTTAGAAAAAAAAATGAAAAATTTAGCAATTTTTCCATTTGTAAAGGGGCATAACTCTAGAACAGTAAAAGTGACACCACCAAAATTCAAACTTAATCTGTGTATAGTGGTAATAAGCATTGTGTATAAGTTTCATAACATTTGGTTGAGGCAAAGTTAAGTTAGAGAACGGAAATGAACAATTTTGCAATTTTTCCACTTTAAAGGGAGCATAACTCTAGAATGGTTAAAGTGATGCAACCAAAACACCAAAATTCAAACTTTTTCAAATTTGTTATTATTTATTAAAAGACGTGTGGAAAAGAAATAGCATCAAAAACAAAATTATCTGTGCACTAGTTTTTTTTAGATACAAGGATTAAACCATTTGGTAGAAAACATTTAGTTAGTACTTTTCTTAAGTTTTCATCTATTTTGTCAAAAGACGTTTCCAAAAATTAATCTATGCTATTTAAATGAAAAAAACAGATGATCTCAAGTAATGAAAACAAGAAAGCTGTCATATGTATGGTCAAGAAATATTTTAAAGCAGAGGAAATATATCTTTCATAGAATTACCCTTAGGTATGTTTAAAATTACAATGAAACATACTGTATTTGAGTAAAATAAGATTCTTATAACAGTGGAAGTCTCTCTAAAGCTAGGTTTTGTAGGAATGGACAACGCTTAATGAATAAAGAAGCACTATTATTGAAGATTTAAATAAATAAAATAATGCTATACAATATTGTAGACAAGTAATGTCAATCATTTCACAACAAACGCAATACACTATTAAAAAAGAAGAATCAAGAAGAGCTCAAATAATGATAACATGAAGGCTGTGCATGGCCAGGAAACATTTTAAAGAAAAGAAAATGTGTTTTTCATAGAATTAACTTTGATATGTTTTAAATTACAATGATAAACATGATAAATATTGTATTTGAGTCTCTCTTAAGCTAGGTTTTGTAGGAATGGAGAACTTTTAATGTACATTCATAAATAAGCACTATTGCTTTACAATGTTGTAGAAGTTATGTCAATCATTTCACAACAAATGCAATATTCTTGGGTGGAGTATTCTGAATTGGAGTTTTACCCTCATCACCCTTGTCCACATATGATCCCAGCATTAAGTAATGTAGGAATCCCTTTTCTTTGGTAAAGTCATCATCTTCGTCAAGGTCAATATGAACTTGATCTCCCTCCATGATGTCAAATCGGCTCATTGGTAGATTTTCACATCTACTTGATAATTCCTCAAAGACTTTATTTTCATCATCATGGTAAGGGCCACATGCTAGATGAAACATCTTGAAATTTTTTACTCTGAAATACAATAATTATTTTTGTAAATAAATATTTTCAATTGATATATATCAAAGACTTTTCAAGAAAATATGTTTGTGACTTTCCTTTACATAAAGAGTGATTTCCCTTTAAAAAAAATTCTGGTTCAAAGTTACAGATTTATTTCATAAATTGTATTACTAAGTGAAAATACTTATGTTTACTTACACCAGGTACTCATATCCCATTCAGTTGTCAAAATGTGGGTTTGGATTGGTTTAAGAATAGAGAATAATAGGCAAAAAATAAGAACAGAGAAAAATGAACCCAAAAAATAAAGAACAGAGAATAATTTGGTGCTAAAACATAAAAATAGAAAAAAATGGGCAAATAAAGTATAGAAAAAAGTCAAAAGATAAATAAAATACAGAAATGAAGGCTCGTCCCCTGCATCCAGACCCTTGTATACTAGCAGAACTAATCAGTTTCTGTTTAAGAAGTGTATGACAAAGCACATCATATTAAATACAGTGGAACCATTGTTATTCCTGGAGTTCTAATTTTGTTGATTTTGTGGGTATTGGTGACACCTGAATTTAAATTTTCAACTAATTTCCCATATATGGTCTTCTATGCAGAATTTTTCAAAACCACAAAATCAAGTATCCACAAAAAGTTGTTCCTCAATCCTAAAAAAATGATACTATAGAATATAAATGAATCCAGAGTATATATTATTAATTAACTTCTGTATTTCATGTATGTACATGTATGCTTCTGTATTTCATGTATGTACATGTATGCTTCTGTATTTCATGTATGTACATGTATACTTCTGTATTTCATGTATGTACACGTATGCTTGAAATATACTTACGAGGCATACAAACAAAACTTCTTGGCAACAAACAATCTAAGCTTGCCAACAGGTTCTACAACTCTTACTCTGGATGTTATCATCTGGTCCTTATAAACAAGTGTAAGATTGATCCATTCCTGGAAACCCCTGGGACAAATCATTACGTTTCGTAATGGTTTAGGCTTTCCTGGAATTAGAAATGTTCTTAAAATATGGTTCTAACTTTAAAATGTTTATAAGTTACCCCTTTTCCAAAGTTTGAGTTTTAGGTTGTTTTAAAAATACTGAAAAAAAGTGTCATAATCAGGCCAAAAAAATATGTTTGTTTCCTGCATCCTGGCAAAAAAAGGTAAGTCGGAAGATACAAAAAATATTAAAAAAATCATAAGACAGATCTTTTTAAAAATTGAAAATGCAGTAGTTCTCAGTTTTACAAATGAATTACAAACTATAATTTTATTCTTTCATATATAATAACATATTTAAGTTTCAGAGTTTCATTTATCATACGATTTTTATCAGCTATATAATATATATTCAAATGCATTCATCAATGTCGTTTTAATAAAACCTTCAGTCTAATCGCTCTTTCATAATCAATATGGAATTGTGAAGCAACTCGGTTGTTCAAGCCTTTTTTCAATTAAGAAATGTTTCTTCCTCAGCAAAATATAATATTAATTATGATTTTTTTTTTGGGGGGGGGGGGGAATTAAAATCACAAAGCTGATTTTCTCTGAAAAAAAATATCATGTTAATCATGTTAAGGTGGTACATAACACAGGGAGATAACTCTGTAAAAATCAGCTGCACGTTTTAATCATGTTCTATTGTTAAGGAAACATCAAGCTTCTCAATGATCAAAATTAGTGTTTGTCAAACTGCTATATATCCAATGAAATTTTTCCGATAAAGTGTGTGGTTCAAGTTTTTTGAAATTTTTATATTTTTGTCAAAGTTTTATGAAAATTAAACAAGCCAAATTAATTTTAGTCAAGGTGTTTGGTATCACTTTAATAAATCATGTATTGAATGAAAACAATCAATTGTACCAAACATACCATGCTTTTTCTCCAACTCAAAATATCTTGGAGGTTTACTTGGATTGTCCATAAAGAATCTTAGATAATGCCATTCTGCCTTATCTCTTTCATTCACGGTCACCTCACTACCATTCAGAATGCTTATATTTGGAAGGCTGCAAAAAAAAACATAAAATTTACATATTCAACATTTGAAATTTATAAATCATTTGTTTATATATACAGCCCTTTAAATATAGTACAAATGTTGTAAGGATCTATCTTGTACAAATAATTATTACATTTTGGAAGTTTATCATCAATCTTTATTGGAAGACTTCCTTCTGTGCTTCCTTCTATATTTTAATAACACATACATGCAAAAAAAAAAGCATTCAAAGTCCTCAATACTTTTTTGATTTACATCTATACTGATAGCACATTGTCTGCCTCTGATAAAATCTAATTTCTCTATCTATAACAGTTTACAAGATGATAGTTAATTCTTGCATTGTTCAATCTATGTTCTATTTTTAGCATTGGTGGTCATGTTGGTTTAAAAGCAGAATCATAGGGCCCTTTTTTTAATTCCGAAGGATGATTGTGGCAAAGAATGGTTCAACATTGCTCAGTACTTTCAGGAGAACATTTTTGTAAAAGATAGCAGACAACATCAGAGTGCAACACCCAGTGCAAATAATCAGGTACAGACTTCTGCCTGGTGATCCTTGAAGAAATCTGCTAGTAATCACTATTATTGCTATTTCAAAATACCAAAATTGTGTCTGTCCTTCACAAAATTTTGGTGGTCAAAACCTTTGGAAAACCACTTTTCAAGAACTCTACAGCTAATTCTAAAAGTAGGATTTGAGCATTTTAAATCTCTACCTACCTTGCTATCTGAAGCTTCCTCCTGTCATCTTGACTTAGTTTTGTAGTCAAGTCTATATCCTAAGAAGATAAAAAATAAAATTGCATGTTAAAAATTCTTAATATATTGGTGTTTACTTGTTGATGGGTTGCTGTCTTATCACTGTCATATACCAAATATTTTCATTAAAATAATGAAAATTGGAATTTTATTCATAATGAAAATGAGTTAATTTGTACTGAAATTGCAAAATCTTAGAAATTGAAAATAATTTGGTTGGCATTTAATATACATGTTATTTTCATAAATCACTTTATTAATGCATTACTCAAAAATTTTTCTTACCATAACTCGAACTGACTTTAATGATGGAAATCTACTCAGGGCTTCAATGTATTTCCAATCACCCAATTTTGTTTGACTCAGACATAAACTGGACAAGTTGGAGAAAGGTTTTGTTCCTAAAATGTCTTTTTTAAATTTTCCACATCTGGAACAAACAATTCCATGACTGTCAGAGCTTTCATCAATAGACATATCAAATATTTCACATTCTGAGTTGTCTCCCTTGTCATGTTCCATTTCTCCCATGTGACTATCATTTTCTGAGTCTGGTAAGGTTTCTGTGTCATGTGATGTTATTACATTCTCCTCCTCCTCTGGAACATAAAGTGTGTCCTCAAAACTTCCCATCTGCATTTCTTCTGTTGCTACACTTCTAAATGTGTCATGAACCAGATTATTAACAATGTTTTGAATCTCATTTTGGATTTCAACATTACCATTCATATCTTTATTCTGATCACATACACACAAATCAGTGACATCATCATCTTTGTGCTCATAAGACAAATTCTGTAGAGGGTTCTCTGACAATATCAGGGACTGTAACTGTGGTAAATGTCTCAATTTCCAGATCTCTTCCCAACTGCAAGAATGAAATAATATTTATTTAAATACACTACAGCTCGGGTAGATTTTGCTTTGTCCACCGGCCCACCATGGGAGTGGGCATCGGGTGGGCAAAATTTGTACCTTGTCCACTCTGCCCACCTGTAGGAGTGGGCATTCAATTTCTTTTGTTTCATCTAAAGACTTGCAAGTACAATGAAGTACAATCACTTGAAAAAAGCAGATAAGCATTTGTAATCAATATTTTTACAAAAAAAAGATTAAAGCTAGAGTGGGCACGGGTGGACTGCCCACGGTGGGCCAGTGGAAAAAGCAAAATCCACACGGGCTGTTGTGTAGTTGACAGGTTGAATAGATTTAAAAAGACGTAGGTGAATAGCAAATAAAATCTTGACTGAATTCAAGAGTTGTCCTGTGAATAATTTATATATAAGGTAATAAAATACTTTGAAGTGGAAAAAAAATGTATATACATGATATATATATGCATTTTGATTTTACTTACAAAATTTCTTTTCACAGGTTTTCAACTTATAAATGTTCACATATGATGCTTTCCATAATATTATGTAACCCACTGTATGTAACACATTCAACATTGTTCAAATGAACTAAAAGATAACAGGCATGACCAAAACCATATTGGAAATAATAATAGACCATACCAACAACCAACTCTGTTTTTTCCCTTTAGTGCATTAAAATTATATTTATAAAATAACTCAAGAACGATAAAAGTGACGCTACCCAAATTTGTACTTGATCTGAGTTTTATGGTAATAAGTATTGTATATAGGTTTCATAATGTTTGGTTGAGGCAAACTTAAGTTACAGGCAGAAACTAAAAATTTTGCAATTTTGCGATTTATAAATGGGCATAACTCGATAATGGTTAAAGTAACACTACCCAAATTCAAGTTAATCTGTGTTTTATGGTTATGCATTGTGTATAAGTTTCATAACATTTGGTAAAGTCAAACTTAAGTTAGAGAAACAAAAATTTTACATTTTTTTTCCATTTAAAATTGCTTTTACAAGTCTTAACTAATTTTGAAACAAGTTATTGGCTTAGGGATATTGGTTTGCAGAAAAATCTGATTAAACCTCCACTTTAGATTACTAAAAAGAAATTGAATTCCCTCCCTTTGTATATAGCATTTGAAAAAGTGTAGGAATCAATTCACAGCTAGTACTGTATTAAATTCTATCAAATTAATTCTTCATGCAGAAGATGCTATATTCACTATAAATAATTTATCAATGGCAGGCAAAATTAAACATTGCATTGTATAAAGCATTGATTGTAGTTGATTCTACTATAATCATGGACAAAGGAAGATAACTCCAATTTTAAAAATAAAATGCTTTGCTGGGGCGCAGCTTGATATGACCGCAGAGGTCGAACCCTGAACAGTTGGGGCAAGTATGGACACAACATTCAAGCTTGATACAGCTCTGAATTTGGATTGTTATTAAATATTTGACACAGCATAGGTTTCTGACACAGAAAGAATGTGGTCTAAGAACTTGAATTTTTTTAATTTACCTATTATGGTCCAATGTCCAAAATCAAAATACATGGTTAGATTCAGCATATCAAATAACCCCATATATTCAATTTTTGTTGAAATCAAAAAAAGTTTAATTTTGGACCCCAACTTGGACCAACTTGAAAACTGGGCCCATAATAAAATATCTAAACACATGTTTAGATTCAGCATATCAAAGAACCCCAAGAATTCAATTTTTGTTAAAATCAAACTAAGTTTAATTTTGGACCCTTTGGACCTCAATAAAGACCAATTTAAAAAACGGGACCCAAATTAAAAATCTAAAAACACGGTTAGATTTGGCATATCAAAGAACCCCAATAATTCAATTTTTGATGAAATCAAACAAAGTTTAATTTTGGACCCTTTTGACCTCAATATGAACCAATTTGATAGCAAGGCCCACAAATAATAAATCTAAATACATGGTTAGATTCAGCATATCAAAGAACCTCATATTTTCAATTTTTGTTGAAATCAAACAAAGTTTAATTTTGGACCCCAATTTGGACCAACTTTAAAACTGGGCCCATAATCATAAATCTAAATACATGTTTAGATTCAGCATATCAAAGAACCCCATATATTCAATTTTTGTTGAAATCAAACAAAGTTTAAATACTGGACCCTATCTTGGACCATACTGTGCAATTAAAGATTACTTCTTGAAATTTTTCAATATTTGAAATTTGAAAAAAAAAAAATATTTGAGGAATAATTCTTTTTAATTTCTGAAATCTGAAATGAGAAAAAATTGCCCCCCCCACAATTTCTTTTTATCCCCCCCCCCTTTTTTCCCTTAAAAAAATTCTTTCCCTCAAGATATGGTCATAATCTCAATTCAAATTTCCAATGGAGTTGGCAACCATAATTACCCATTTAAATTTACCATAGTGCTAACTTAATCTATTTTATAATAGAATTAAAAATATAGTGTCAAATCATTCATATGGATTTTTTTGTAAAAAAAAAAGATGCAACATTTGCAGCTATTTTTACTGGTCTTCCTTTATAAATATGAATTTCTTTAAACATAATTTAAAAGCAGTGTAAGGGAAGTAACCAAAACGTTGTATTTGGATTACCTCCCTTACACTGTTTTAAATTATCTTTATTGTTCATTAACCATTACTTTATACATAATTTAAAAGCAGTGTAAGGGAGATAATTTCAATGATGTATTTGATTTATCTCCCTTACACTGCTTTAAATTATGTTTTGTACTAAAGTATTTGTCCATTAACCAGGACAACCTTGTTTTTCCCCCTTTCTTGCCCCTAATTCCTAAACGGTTTGAGCCATAACCCCCCAAAGCAAATCCTAACCATCCCTTTGTGGTATGGAAACTTGTAGTATAATTTCAGAGAGATCCATACACCGTTCCACAGTTATTGTCTGGAAACTAGAAAATGCTTATTTTTGGCCCCTTTTTGGCCCCTTATTCCTTAACTGTTGGTACCTTAACCAAGGATCCGGAAATTTTCCCATGTCATTTCGGTCATTTTTTTTTGTGATGCACAATAATGCATTTTTCTGAGGGTGACAAGTCTTGCACATGGACAAGTAACGTCCTTTTTTGTGAAGTATTGGGTCAAACAAGTGTAACTGTACCTTGATCTAACAGTAACAGTGATATCTCTGAGTTAGAAACTACACGAGGAGACGTTTTGTTGTTGTGTATTGCATCACTGAGGTCGTATGCATAACCCTTTAAATTTGCATAAATTAAAAGAGGAATAATTACGGCATGTTTCATCATTTTGAAATAAAGTTATGTAAACCAATTAATAAACTGTGTTGAGTTTCTTATTGCATGTACAAGATATCGTTTGTATTGTTCAAATTGCTGCTGTTTGGATGAGTGTAAGTGATTACCTAATACACAATAAGATAATGTGTATTCACCTGGTTTACGATATGAGGATCAAAAAGGGGAAACTATGATTCAACTTTTCTTTGAATAAATAACTCAAGTCTGATATAGTGATAACAATTGAATTTAATAATAAAATTCATGATTTTAAATAAATAAATAATTTATCTGAACAGAAGTTTGTACACAATTACAACAATTCAATGAAAAACAATTGCATTGTAATACTCTAGGAATGACAGTCTATAAATATTCAATACACATAGCAGTCTATCAATGGTAACACAAATACACAGAGTCAATATAAGTCTATCTAATGTTCATAAGCTTAGAGAAAGCATTATGTTTGTTGTTTTGGTACACTTGTCTTTGACGGTTAGACTGCCACTGACGGAGTGCCGGTTTTGGGTCAAAGTCTTTGACAGAAACACCAACTAATCCTATGCGCATCAGCTGATCCAAAGTGTCGGTGCTGGTCTTGCATCGGAGCTTTGTCTTTATAAGGTTTTGCCTAGAAAACCCACGCTCACACTCTACACTAGAAACTGGTAGGACACTGGCGATCTCAATTAAGCTTACAATGTTAACAAATTGGTCTTTCATTGGTGTCACTTCTGTAAGTAGCTCAGCAGGGCTCAGATGTCTAAAGTTGTTGAAAATTATATACTTGATTGTACTCCATTCTTGTAAGGTGGTGTCTTTGTCAAAGCTGGTGCAATGACTGGTCAGTGTGGACAGTTGACTGGTTCCGTAGTGGGGTAAGTCGGAAATGTTGACTGGAAAGGAGGCTGGTTCGAATATAGTGAAGGCCTCAAATATCTTCGAGTCTGGAAATCTGTCTTTTATGTTGTCAGTAAGAGTTGATACCAGATGAACAACTTTGTCAGGAAGGTGGGCATCTCTTGGTGAGCGGCTGAAGTCGATACCTTTGAAGTTCTCTTGTTCAGTTGTTGCTAGGATGAACTGAGACAGAAGTGGCCCAAAAGATGGTTGGTCAGTTAGGTACTCGGCTGATAAGGCAGTCAGGAACCCATCAACTTGTAGTCGGACGGTGCTGTAAGATAGCTCTCTCTGTTGCAGTGCCTTACTAAGGATGTTGATCTTGCTGAAGATATCACTCAGGAAGTGGAGCAGGAAGAGGAACTTGTAGGATGTCATGTGATGCACCATGGAACTTGCTACTATATCACTGTCACCTTGGTCTGATACCATATGGACTATCGAAACTAGGGATCTTCTTAAGTTGTCTAATGCATGGCCCATAGATAACCATCGGACTTTGTGGACATCTAGTGGATTCAGCTGTGGGTCGTCTAGGATTGTTTGCCATGTACGGAGCTCTGACAGGTTGGATGGTGACCTCTTGAAATATGTGTAGACTGTTTTGATGATGCTCTCTATAAATTTGATTTCTGGAATCTCTTTGGATAGGTCAACACATGCTAGGGCTAGACGATGAGCAACACAGTGCATCTCTATCAGATATGGACTGTTCTCTTTTAGGAGCTGGGATACACCAGTGTGTTTACCGATCATGACAGCTGCACCATCGGATCCCATACCGTACAGCTTGGAAAGGTCAACATCATTTGCTTGCAGGTAGGCTATAAGTTGGCTGGTTATGGCAACACTGTCGCAGGCAGTCAGGTTTATCAATTTGGAGTAGGTGATCTTAAGTTTGGCATCTTTCAAATAGCTGAGGTACAATATCAAGTGTTTCTGTGTAGATAGGTCGGTGGACTCGTCTATCATTATAGAGAATGCTGGACTGTCTTTTACATCTTGCAAAACGGTCTGCTCAATCTGGGAGGAAATAATTTTGATGAATTCTGAGCAAGCTGTATCTTCTTGGTACATTGTCGATGTTATAGGTGCTCCATTCATCTTGGACAGCTCATTCAGGGACTGGTACTTGTCGATAGGTAAATTTTCTTTGGCAATGTAGTAAGCATTTCTAAACAGTGTTGTCATGGCATCATCTGTTTTTTCATACACCTTCTCTACCATCGTCTTAAGTTTGTTGTCTTTGGCTGCTTCATCAGACTTTAAGGATTGAACATGATCATTGGAACTTGCATGCATGGTCTACTAAGGTGGACTTTCTGAAGTTGCAGGCCCCGGGATATACAAAATTGTTTTTCTTTTTGTGTTTCTGGCAGATGGTGCAGAACATGGCATTACGTATACTGTCAAAGGTAAGCCATGCGAACAACTGCAACCATTTGGCATTGAAAGATCTGGCATTTTTGGCAGGTTTCTGGTTTTCATCTGACGACTCTCTTTTACGCTTATTCATTGTTGGAACTTATTATGAATTTATATTTAATATTCAAAGCTTTTATACCAGCAAAAATAACCTTGAAACAATTAAAGAAAAACGACCATGAATTCTGTTGGTCTTTACAGAGAGAATGTATGGCTTCACTTGGGTAAAAATCGGAAGTATAGCCAGGAAAACAAAAGAAAGGATAACGCCCATTACATTCTGTGAGTAAGATGGTTTCAAAAAATCGGAAGTGCAAAAAAAACAAAAAAAAATCGAGATTGTTCATTCGCTGAGTATATTTCTTAAATAGGCTGTATGGCTTCAAATCTAAATTACGTTATTTAGTTTTAATTCCTTTTTTAAACATTTTTTTTTAATTCTGCATTCCTATAAATTATAGGCTTTACCACTTTTGCAAATCTATTAATATCTTTATCTGCCATTTCCTACCGAAAAGTTAAATAAGATTATCAATTAACCCATGTTGATCCCCATTTTCCATGCGCAAACTCAGTAAACATAAATCTATATTTAACAAACGTTGACCAAATCAGCTGATCGATTATAAATGGATTTTATGTTTTATTTGGATAAAAATTGACAGATTCTCGAGTCAACAGTGTTATTTGTCTTCTTTAATGAATAAAATAATATCTGTTTGGGAAAATCTAGGTCAGAATGGTTAAAACGTTAAATTTGATGCACAGCAAATCGCCATATTGTTTTTATTGCTTAACAGGTGTTTACAGGTGAGATTTGTGTACATGGCCTTTATGGCTTTAATCAAGACAATAACGACACCCAAGCCGAATTCAAACTTCCTGGACATTGATTACTATCCTCAAGTGGTGATAATTACTACGTAAACAAACCTAGTGGCTTCAACCCAGACTTACCCCACGCTGTGACTCGACAGAGTCCTGTACATTGTTTTCACTTACATTATAGAATAAACAACAGACTAATGATAAATATTATTAAATCACTAACACAAATCAATAAAATTTTTATTTTGTCTCAAACAAATCTATTTTTCTTGATGACCTGATAACAAAAATAAGTTCAAAATGGCGACCGATAAAACCCTGATCTCAATGAAATGACCGAAATTATTTCTGTAAAAAAAAAAAAAAAGACCAAAATCCCAATAAATCATTTCGGTCTTTTCAGTTTCCAAATCGGTCATGTCTGGCATATATGACCGTTTCCGGACCCTTGACCTTAACCCCCAAAATCAATCCCAACCTTCCTTTTGTGGTATTTAACCTTATGGTCAAATTTCAAAAAGATCCATTCACTTAAACTAAAGTTAGATTGCGAAAACCAATGTGTCTTCGGACGATGACGCCGACAACGTCATACCAATATACGACCACAAAATTTTTTTGCGGTCGTATAATAATTACTTGATACTTTCAGAAAAAAAATGAAAAAATGTAAAGGGCATAACTCCAGAACAGTAAAAGTGACAGTACAAAAATTCAAACTTGATCTGTATATTGTGGTAATAAGCATTGTGTATAAGTTTCATAACATTTGGTTGAGGCAAACTGAAGTTATAGAAAGGAAACAAAAAAATTAGCAATTTTTCCATTTGTAAAGGGGCATCACTCTAGAACGGTAAAAGTGACGCCACCAAATTTCAGACCTGATCTGTATTTAATGGTAATAAGCATTGTGTAAAAGTTTCATAACATTTGGTTGAGGAAAACTAAAGTTAGAACGGAAACCAACTTTGGGACGTACGTACGGACAAGGGTAAAACTTAATGCCCTCTCCGCTACGGCGGGGGCATACAAATATTTTACTTACAAATATCAATGTTATTTCAAATGCATTTGTCCCAGAGTTACACTTTCATTTTGACTTAAAGATTTAAATGGGAAGATTCATTTTTTTTCAGCCAGGAATACTAATTTTTGAAATGCTTGTTCATGCTAAAAAATACCTGACAGTGTGTATACAAATAGATCTTCTGATATGCTACTAGTGATACAACAGACATTTCCAGAATAGAATACTTGAGTTCAACTCCCACTTCTTAAAAAAATTTCATGTTTTAAATGTGTTTTGGGGAAACTTTTCCTTTCTATAATTTTGATAACTGTCATTAGCAGTGTTTGAGTATTATTTTTTTCTATCACATGACAATTTGCTAGAACATACCTTTGTATTCTGTTATTGTTCATCCTGAGACAGTGTAAATTAGGCAGATTCTGTGCTACATCTGTGTTGTTACAGGTTACTTTGTCAAAATCTGGAAATACAAGTAAAAATATTCAAAGCTGTTTTTCTTTTAAATAAGCAATACTTTCGATATTTTGCTCCAAGATCTGTTTGTAAGAAAGATGAAAACACATCTATATACAGATAATGTTATTCAAAGACTTTGCAAATTCTTACACAACTGGATATTGCTTTTCTGTTGAAAAATAAAAATAACAAAAACAAGTTGTTCAAGATTTCCTGGAGTTGTCTCCCTTAAAAGACCAAATTAAAAACTGCTGTAGGTTACATTTGTACTTGTTATTTAACCATGGTTACCCGTAATAAATATAAATTTGAAGTTTTATTTAAAAACAAACATTTTCAACATTGTCTTATGAGACTCCAGGATCTCACTGTAATATGAAGATTTACCATTTGCACAAACATGTAGTTCTTTAAGTGATGGGAGATTCTTGGACAGGTTAAGTATATCTGACCAGGACACCATAGTACCATTCAATACCAGATTCTCTATACTGGGTAAAGTTGTGCTCCATTTCTCTAAAGCTGACTGAAAAATAATGAATATGATTTAATTGCCAATATAGAATACCAAGAGAAGTACATGTTTCCCATGGATTCTTTCATATACATATCAAACATAGGAATTCTGGGGTGGATGTGGTGTTGGCTCAATATTTAAAATTCAATCTGTAATGTGGTACATTTCAATAGCTGACTAAAATGTATGAAGATCAATAGTCTAAATTACAGTTTTACATTTTAGATACTAGATACTGTTTTCAACTACATTGAAATGGAAAATACATAAAACTTGCTCTTTTTTTTTCTCTTTAATATCATGCAAACCAGCTCACTAAAGGTACAAAATGTTGGGTTAGCCAAAAACACAGTCATTTATTTTAACGGTTATAACCTGAATATAAATATGCACTGATTTTAAATATTTTTTGTCATAGGTGCTAAATAATCCCTGTGTAGATAGATTGATCAATTGATTGTTGGACCCTGTTTTTAATGTCACTTTCAGCATTTTTGGCTATATCATGTCATGTACAGGGTTCAAACTCACAACCTTAGTGTGATACTGTAGATGAATTACTTCGACCACTCAGCTTTCCAGGCACCTTGTTTGGAAGGGTGGATGAGCAGTCAGAGCTCAGACATAAACAAGTCGTTTTTTGTTTTTGACTTACAGAAGTCAAAAAATGTATTTATTATGAAAATGTGTTTGCATTTTCAGACTTATATAAGGTCTATTTATGTTTACAAAAAGACTTAATTTTAATTGGTGGCCAAAGTGCACCACCTATGACATCATAAACCTGTCTGAGAGTTCACAAGGACCTGAGCTATCTATATTTAATTACTGTAAACCAACTAATTTTCGCGAGCGATTTATTTTCGTGAAATTTGCGAGTAGAAAAATAATGCAAATATAAATCGTCGCGAATATGTAAAACTTGGATCTTTCCTTTTTTAAAACTTTATCAAGTAAATTAAAAAACGTGAAATTAAATCGCAGCGAAGTTGACTAGAAAGAGGTAAACGTGAAATAAAGTATCCGCGAAAATAAGTTGGTTTATAGTACCTAATTGAACATTTTTACGTAACATAAGATTATTTTCCTCATTTTGTGTGGTTAACGATGGTTGCATTGTAAAGTAAATAAACATTATCTCCGTTTTTTAAGGCTCTCCTGCATATTTTTCTTTAGAAGACAAAGCATTGTCTTTCAATGTTGGAATAATTTCATGTAGATGCTTGACCTATTTATAAATGAGCTTGGGTCTTGAAGTTGACCAATTTTGGTAACTTATTGACTTGTAGGAGTCAATATTTGCAACTTTTTAATTCAGGTCAAATATTTCTTGCTTAACACTAATTGACTTATAAAAATCATAATTTGTCTTAAATTAAAGGGGGACAAATCTTGAAACCTACAAATTTAGACCTCTATGAGTCAAAAGCAGATGTAGACTTATCTATGTCTGAGCTCTGACTGATGAGTGTTTAAAATCTAGTGGCAAATTAAATGCATATTCATAACGAGAACATGTTGATGTGATATGAATATTAACCCTGCTTTGTACTAGATCGACAGGCTGAGCAGGATTTTAAAAGTGCTAGTTCATAAGATAACAGTCTGCAGGAAGACGTCACCCTACCAGGACACATTATTCTGATTTAGGACAGACCAGTCTTTGCTTTAACGTCACCCTACCAGGACACATTATTCTGATTAAGGGCAGACCAGTCTTTGCTTTAACGTCACCCTACCAGAACACATTATTCTGATTTAGGGCAGACCAGTCTTTGCTTTAACGTCACCCTACCAGAACACATTATTCTGATTTAGGGCAGACCAGTCTTTGCTTTAACGTCACCCTACCAGGACACATTATTCTGATTGAGGGCAGACCAGTCTTTGCTTTAACGTCACCCTACCAGAACACATTATTCTGATTTAGGGCAGACCAGTCTTTGCTTTAAAGTCACCCTACCAGGACACATTATTCTGATTTAGGGCAGACCAGTCTTTGCTTTAACGTCACCCTACCAGGACACATTATTCTGATTTAGGGCAGACCAGTCTTTGCTCTAACGTCACCCTACCAGGACACATTATTCTGATTTAGGGCAGACCAGTCTTTGATTTAACATCACCCTACCAGGACACATTATTCTGATTTAGGGCAGACCAGTCTTTGCTCTAACTCCTAAATGCCTCATGTTTAGCAGAGAAGCAGCAAATACCAATTTTAAAGTCTGTGGTTTGAACCAGTCAGGGTTCTAATCCACTGCAGACACTACTGCACTCAAGACATTTTTAGAAGGAAGTTTTGCTCACTCAGAATACTGGTTACTTACACACTCATCTTTTAAAGGATTTCTAGCAATGTTGACAAACTTCAGACATGGAAGCTGTGTAAGAAGTTCCAGAACATCACTCCAGTCATGCAGATAGTTGTCTGACAAATCTAAGTCCACAACATTAGGACATAAAGACTTCAGTCCTTCATGTGGGAGGCCTGCCTTCCATACACCACTGTTATTTAAAATCTGAAAAAAATTAACATACAATGAATTAATACGGTCCACTGCAAAGTAAAAAGATTAGACAACTGTAAATTTTATTGCGTTGATTGTCTCTGTTAAATTTATTGACTACTCTTCCAGACTGTGAGTGATTTATAGCTCTATTAATTGCACAGGTCACTGTAACATCTTGTATATTCTTAAACAAAAATAAGTGGACCTCTATCATGTTGTCTATAGATATCTATTGTTTTTTTGTGTTGTTGGGCCACTGTCTTACTGACATATATATCAAACATCTCCTTTTATTTATATGTTCAATGTAATAATAAAGCTGAACAATGAACATTTATTTTAAAATTTGAAATTGACAACCTACAAGTAGAAAACACTACATTTTTCACAAATGGTACATTTGTACATGTACAATGCAATTCTATCGCATTAAGGAATAATATCACCATTGTTTTCCCCTATTAGCCTTTGTTAAATTCGGCATCTTTTTTTTTAAATTTTGCAGAAATTATTTTTGCTTCAAATAAAGAAATACTTGGCATGAGTTTAGTTTTATCCTGTGCAGTACTACAGTGAAAATTTCACATAACATTTCATTGCATATAATATATCTACCATCATCTGAAGTTAACCATTAACCAATCAAATTTTCACCCCTTTTTTTCACAAGCTTTAGTAACAATAAATAAGTCACCTCAGGTTTCCAAAATATTGAATAATAAAATGCTTCGCTGGGCGCAGCTTGATACGACCGCAGAGGTCGAACCCTGAACAGTTGGGGCAAGTATGGACACAACATTCAAGCTTGATACAGCTCTGAATTTGGATTGTGATTAAATATTTGACACAGCATAGGTTTCTGACACAGAAAGAATGTGGTCTAAGAACTTCAATTTTTTTAATTTACCTATTATGGTCCAATGTCCAAAATCAAAATACATGGTTAAATTCAGCATATCAAAGAACCCCATATATTCAATTTTTGTTGAAATCAACCAAAGTTTAATTTTGGACCCCAGCTTGGACAAACTTGAAAACTGGTCCCATAATCAAAAATCTAAACACATGTTTAGATTCAGCATATCAAAGTACCCGAAGAATTCAATTTTTGTTAAAATCAAACTAAGTTTAATTTTGGACCCTTTGGACCTTAATGTAGACAAATTTAAAAAACGGGACCCAAAATTAATAATCTAAAAACGCGGTTAGATTTGGCATATCAAAGAACCCCAATAATTCAATTTTTGATGAAATCAAACAAAGTTTAATTTTGGACCCTTTTGACCTCAATATGAACCAATTTGATAGCGGGCCCACAAATAAAAAATCTAAATACATGGTAAGATTCAGCATATCAAAGAACCCCATATATTCAATTTTTGTTGAAATCAAACAAAGTTTAATTTTGGACCCCAACTTGGACCAACTTGAAAACTGGGCCCATAATCAAAAATCTAAACACATGTTTAGATTCAGCATATCAAAGAACCCTAAGAATTCAATTTTTGTTAAAATCAAACTAAGTTTAATTTTGGACTCTTTGGACCTTAATGTAGACCAATTTAAAAAACGGGACCCAAAATTAAAAATCTAAATACACGGTTAGATTCGGCATATCAAAGAACCCCAATAATTCAATTTTTGATGAAATCAAACAAAGTTTAATTTTGGACCCTTTGGACCTCAATGTGGACCAATTTAAAAACGGGGCCCAAAATCCAAAAACTTAATACACGGTTAGATTCAGCATATTAAAGAACCCCAAGAATTCAAGAATAAAACCCCATTGAAATTGATCAAGAAATAAGCAATTTATACGAAGTATCTTCTTTTGCACAATACTGTGCAATTGAATATTTCTTGCTATTGCGCAATACTGTACAATTGACAATTTCTTGCTATTGCGCAATATTGTGCTATTGGATATTTCTTGCTATGGCGCAATACTGTTAAATTGAAGATTTCTTGCTATTGCGCAATACTGTGTAATTGAAGATTTCTTGCTATTGTGCAATACTGTGCAATTGAAAATTTCTTGCTATTGCACAATACTTACTATATAATAATTTACACATCCTGTTTGGTGTATCTCCTACCATATCATTATTATTTGCTTTTAAATATAAATCAGAAATAACCAACTTAAAATGGAAAATTTTAAAAGAAAAAAAAAAAGGAAAAAAAGAAAAAAAAAAAAAAAAAAAATCCCCCCCCCCAAATTTTTTGAACCCCCTTATGATTCATCACCCCCAAACTCAATCCCAGCCTTCCCTTTGTGGTATGGTACCTTGCAGTACAATTTCAGAGAGATCCATACACTTGAACACAAGTTATTGTCTGGAAACTAGAAAAATGCTTATTTTTGGCCCCTTTTTGGCCCCCAATTCCTAAACGTTTCGGGCAATTACCCCCAAACTCAATTCCAGCTTTCCCTTTGTGATATGGAACCTTGTAGTACAATTTCAGAAATATCCAAACACTTACACACAAGTTATTGTCATGAAACTAGAAAAATGCTTCTTTTTTGCCCCTTTTTTGGCCCCTAATTCCTAAAATTTTGAGGCAATTACCCCCAAAATCAATTACAGCCTTCCCTTTGTGATATGGAACCTTGTGGTACAATGTCAGAGAGATCCATACACTTACACACAAGTTATTGTCTGAAAGTTACAAAAATGCTTATTTTTGGCCCCTTTTTGGCCCCTAATTCCTTAACTGTTGGTACCATAACCCCCAAAATCAATCCCAACCTTCCTTTCGTGGTATTGAACCTTATGGTGAAATTTCATGGAGATCCATTCACTTAAACTAAAGTTAGAGTGCGAAAACCAATGTGTCTTCGGACGACGCCGGACGACGACGACGACGCCAACGTCATACCAATATACGACCAAAAAATTTTTAATTTTTGCGGTCGTATAAAAACAACTAATAATAAATTGCTTCGCCGGGCGCAGCTGGATACGACCGCAGAGGTCCAACCCTGAACAGTTGGGGCAAAAATGGACACAATATTCATGCAGTACATTGATACAGGTCTGAATTTGGATTGTAATTAAATATTTGACATATAATAGGTTTCTGACACAGAATAACTGTAGTCAAAGAACTAAGAATTGATTATATGATTTGAATTTATATTCAATTTTTTGCTTTTGTGCAATACACTGTGCCTGTGCGAATTGTCCCCACCCACCCCACCCAAAATAAAATAAAATTTAACCCATTTTTTTTTGCTTTTGTGCAATACACTTTGCTGTTGCATATTGAACCCCCCCCCCCCTCCCCCACCAAAAAAAAAAAATCCCCCCCCCCTTTTTTGGCAATTTAAAAAAATGTGAAGAAATTTTGTTTAATTTCTGAAATCTGAAAGGGAAGTAATCCAACACTGTACAATTTTGTTTTTGGATTACCTCCCTTACACTGCTTTTAAATTGTCCATTAACCAGTAAACCCTTGTTTTTCCCATAACTCCTAAACGGTTTGAGCAATAACCCCCCAAAGCCAATCCTAACCATCCCTTTGTGGTATGGAAACTTGTGGTATAATTTCAGAGAGATCCATACACTTAAACACAAGTTCTTGTCTGGAAACTAAAAAAATGACTTTTTGGGCCTCTTTTTGGCCCCTAATTCTAAACTGTTAGGACCATAACCCCCAAAATCAATCCCAACCTTTCTTTTGTGGTATTGAACCTTGTGGTTAAATTTCATAGAGATCCATTCTCTTAAACTAAAGTTATTGTACGAAAACCAATGCGTCTTTGGACGACGACGACGCCAACGTCATACCAACATACGACCACAAAAGTTTTTTGCGGTCGTATATAAAAAGAATGGTGCATTGAAACATCCAAGATAAATATATATGTTTATGACTCAGAATTTTTTTTCCACAATGAAATGCAGGGTTAACTTCGTACAACTGTCAAATTCAAGTAACAAATTTTAGACCCTTTTTTATAAGAAACCAGATGTGACATACTAAGATTTGGTGGTATTACACCTTAACCTACATTAACAGAATCAAGACCTGGTCATGCCTGGCAACAAAAAGCAGAATATAGACTAAATAAAATGAAAATCAGGTCTTTTTTAAATTAGCCTAATAACTATCTATCCCATATTCTTTTTACTAAACATTTTAATCCTTGATAATAATTTCTTCTTTTATCACAAACATACAGATCTATTATCTTTATAATCTTATCAACTATATTTGGACAAAAATAATAAGACTTTGTACATGTAAATCTATGAAATTACTGTATTTGTATATGTACTTAAGCACAGATATCCCTTACTATGTTGTCAGAGGGACTTGCATTCATTTATCATGTTTATATACACATGTTTCTATTTATATCATCCTGATCATATGAAAAACGAGAGATTTAAAAAAAACAACACACCAATGTGATCAATACATGCAATACAAATGCAACCTGTTACCAACTGACTCAAATTCACAAAAGTAGATAGTTTAATAGATGCATGTATGTAAGCCTCAAATCTATGTCCATCGATGTCTGTGTCCTAATCTATATTATGTCATAGACATCATAAATCTATGTCCTTTTCTTTCTCACATCTCTGTACATGTCCTTTTCAAAAGTTCATGTAATGTCAGAGATTAAAGTCATATGAAACTTCAAATTAAAACAAAAAGTTGAATGTTTTATATACTTAAATGGCTAAGTTTTTACTATAAAACAAGTGTACGAGAAGTTTCTTGTAAAAGTGTGGACTTGAAGGTTAAAAGTAACAAGCATTCTCAGATTTTTGCATGGCAATACATAGTCCCCTACCGTTAAAAATTCATTGTTTTGGAACAAAATGCTAACTTGATCTTAAAATTTTCATGGTGTAAACTTTATAAGAAATATCAAATCATTGTCTTCAAGTGTGACAAAAAAGTGTGGAAAACTGATTATTTGCGTGAATTTTCGAAAAGTCTATGGACCATAACTTTGCAAAATAATCACCTGAACCAAACACAATTTGAAACTTTGAGGTATAACTTGTCATGGTAAAACTATATATATACCAAATATCAAATCAATATCTTCAAGCATAACAAAAAAAATTGCTTCTCCAAGCGCAGCTGGATACAACCGCACAGGTCCAACCCTGAACAGTTGGGGCAAAAATGGACACAATATTAGCGCTTGATACAGGTCTGAATTTGGATTGTAATTAAATATTTGACACATAATAGGTTTCTGACACAGAATAACTGTAGTCAAAGAACTTAGAATTGGTTATATGATATGAATTTATATTCAATTTTTTGCTTTTGTGCTATACACTATGCTATTTCAAATTGACCCCCCCCCCCCCCCAAAAAAAAATGTCACCCCCCCCCCCCCCTTTTTTTGCAAAAAAACATTTGAAGAAATTTTCTTTTTAATTTCTGAAATCTGAAATGAGAAAAAAATGTCCCCCCCTCACAATTTCTTTTTTAACTCCCCCCCCCCCCCCCCCCCCCAATTTTTTTTCACCTACCACTCCCCTTTTTCCAAAAAAAATATTCTTTCCCTCAAGATATGGTCATAATCTCAATTCAAATTTCCAATTGAGTTTGCAACCATAATTACCCATTTAAATACATCTTAAAAGTCTTAAAATAGAACATGACATACATAATCATGGCTAAAATTAATATTCCTTAATCAGCATTTTTAAATAGTAACTTCTAAAAATAAATTGACAGCTAATCACCTCAAGACAATACAACATTTCTTTATACATAATTTAAAAGCAGTGTAAGGAATGTAATCCAAACAAATCATTGTACTTTTTTTTAATTGTCCATTAACCAGGAAACCTTGTTTTTCCCCCTTTTTTGCCCCTAATTCCTAAACGGTTTGAGCCATAACCCCCTCAAAGCCAATCCTAACCATCCCTTTGTGGTATGGAAACTTGTGGTATAATTTCAGAGAGATCCATACACTGTTCCACAAGTTATTGTCTGGAAACTAGAAAAATGCTTATTTGGGCCCCTTTATGGCCCCTAATTCCTAAACTGTTAGGACTATAACCCCCTTAATCAATCCCAACCTTCCTTTTGTGGTTATAAACCTTGTGTTTAAATTTCATAGATTTCTATTCACATTTACTAAAGTTCTTGTCCGGAAACCAAATGTCTTCGGTCGACGCTGACAAGGACGTGATACCAATATACGACCGCAAAATTTTTTGCAGTCGTATAAAAAAGTGTGTAAAACTGATTATTCGCTTGAATTTTTGAAGTCCAAGATCCATAACTCTGCACATAATCATCAGACCAGAACAAATTCAAACTTGATCTGTAACTTGTCATGGTAAAACTATTTACCAAATATCAAATTAATATCTTCAAGCATGACGTAAAAAGTGCAGAAAAATGATTACTTGCTTGAATTTTTTTTGAAGTCCAAGGACCATAGCTCTGCATAAAATCATCAGACCAGAACAAAATTTGAACCTGATCTGTAACTGGTCATGATAAAACTATATACCAAATATCGAATCAATATTTATAAGCACAAAGAAAAAAGTGATTTGCTGGACTGATAGATGGACAGACAGACAGATGGACTGCAAACCTATAGTCCCCTTTGACTTCCTTGGAAGGGGACTAATAACGGATTCTTAAAAACAAATTAAATACACCAAATCGTATCTATATAACAACTGTGAAGGAAAAGTTTAATTAACAAATGGGAAACCAATGGAATATATAAAATAAATGTGGATAGTGTCCACATGTGGACACAGATGATGCCCCCGCTTGCATATCATTTAGATATAAAGAGACATAACTGAAGAACGGTAAAAGTGACGCTACCAAATTTGAACTTGATCTGAGTTTTGTGGTAATAAGCATTGTGTGTAAGTCTCATAACATTTGGTTTAGGCTAACTTAAGTAGAGAACAGAAACTAAAAATTCAGCAATTTTTCTATTTGTAAACACGCATAACTCTAGAACGATTGTGTATAAGTTTTATGACATTTGGTTGAAACAAACTAAAAAAATTCAGCAATTTTTATGTTTATAAAGGGACATAACTCAAGAATGGTAAAAGTGTCACCACCTTATTTCGTACTTAATCTGTATTATGTAGTAATAAGCATTGTGTATAAGTTTCATAACATTTGGTTGAGGCAAACTAAAGTTAGAAAACGGAAACAAAAAATTTGTACTTGATCTTAGTTTTGTGGTAATGAATATTGTGTATAGGTTTCATAATGTTTGGTTGGGGCAAACTTAAGTTACAGAATGGAAACTAAAAATTTTGCAATCTTTCAATTTATAAAGGGGCATAACTCAATAATGGTTAAAGTGACACTACCTAAATTCAACTTGATCTGTGTTTTATCAGTGGAAGTTAAAATTAAACATTGCATTGTATAAAACATTGATTGTAGTTGATTCAACTATAATCATGGACAAAGGAAGATAACTCAAATTTTAATATAAAATACTTGATATTTACAAGAAAATAAAAATTTGGCAATTTTTCCATTTATAAAGGGGCATAACTCTAGAACAGTTTAAGTGACTCCACCATAATTCAGACTTGATCTGTGTTTTGTGGTAATAAGCATTGTGTATAAGTTTCATAATATTTGGTTGAGGCAAACTTAAGTTAGAGAATGGAAACTAAAAATTTTGCAATTTTTCCATTTATAAAGGGGCATAACTCTAGAACGGTTAAAGTGACGCCACCAAAATTCAAACTCGATCTGTGTTTTGTGGTAATAAGCACTGTGTATAAGTTTCATAACATTTGGTTGAGGCAAACTTAAGTTAGAGAACGGAAACTAAAAATTTTCCAATTTTTCCATTTATAAAGGAGCATAACTCTAGAACGGTTACAGAGACGCCACCAAAATTCAAACTTGATCTGTGTTGTGTGGTAATAAGCATTTTGTATAAGTTTCATAACATTTGGTTGAGGCAAACTCAAGTTAGAGAACAGAAAACCAATTTTGGGACGTACGGACGGACGTATGTACGTACGTACAGACGGACAAGGGTAAAACTTAATGCCCCCACCGCTACGGAGGGGGCATAATAAAAATAATATCATAGCTCTAATAATTCACTTATTTTTCCTGTATTCCACATGCACTGTCTGTGTTGATTGTTTATCAATGTCGATGATGATGATGATCAGGTATACTTTGACAACAAACACGAAAGTTAATTAGCTTGCAATCAACAGTCCCTGCATGAAATATTATTTGTCGATAATACCTTATAGCTTTGTAATAAATGTGAAACACGTGCATACAGGACTTAATTAGTTTAGTATATATGGATGCATTGGTTCAATAATTTCGATAACATTATAATTACAAGAAACTACAATGTAGTTTCATATGACTTTAAATTCGTTATCTATTTTGTCTTGGATATACATACAGTTAGGGGTACTACTTGTACAAGTAATCTTTATTTACTTGAAGAAGTAAATAAAATATACTTATATAAGTTAATTATAATGTTTGAATAACCTACCCTTAATTTTCTCAAAAATTTACTTGTATACATGTAAGTAAATTTTTCTTACAATCCCACAAAAATTCTCAAGTTTTGAGATGTAAAATCATGCCTTTATCAATTTTTCTCAGGTTAGCTCATAATTTTTTATAAGAGTTCAATGTTTCATCTCATTACATTTTGTAATTCAACAAAGAAACTGATTGCACAAAGATCTTAAGTAATAGCACAAGGCCTTCAAAATTTGCTCCTTGGGGGCTTGTAAATGAACAGTGTTCTGAAGATAACAGACATATGAGATTTTCATTGTCCATGAAATTACACTTAAATGATTAGTAAGGATATTTGCAAAGGACAGACAATTCAAAATTCTGTTAAAGCAAAGAAGTTCTAAGAATTCAAGAAAAGAAGATAGGATGACTTTTTTACTTGTATAAGTAAAAAAATCTGGATGTCAAAGGGACATAACTAGGCCAAAAAATAATTTACTTATACAAGTAAATAAATACACTTGTATAAGTATCCTACAAATTTACTTATATAAGTATATTAATATTTACTTCTTCAAGTTAATGAAAATTACTTGTACAAGTAGAACCCCTGACTGACATATAGTTTAACTAAAATAGATAGGTTCATAAACATGATAAATCAAAGAATGTGTCAACAACTGAATCATACTCTGATTGGTCATTATTTTTAACATTTCTATAGTCATGATAGTTGGAAACCGAAAATACTGAAATCGAAATTTGTGAATATTGTCGGGCTGGTTTATGTATACACCTTATCGCTATTCCTGATTGACCCAAAAATCTGTCCCGCTTGAACTTTTGACGTCATACAACAATCACTTTTCCATTGTGGCGTCAGATATTTTCTATTATGACGTCAAAATTTTACGGGAACTTTTGTGATGTCCAGTAAAGGCGGACAAATAGCGATAAGGTGTATTGATTAAAAGAGAATTAATAAAGACTACATGTAGATTCTATATTTTCCAATGTTTTTTTTAAAACTTTTAATTTTTAATTGTCATTCAAATAAGTACACTGCAGCTTTACCCGATGATAACTTTTACTTGTCCCAGGCAGTCAGACAGCAAGCTGTTCATGTCGAACTCTGTCATTTCAACTTCAGAACAAAGGGTTTTACAATTTATTCAATTATAGCAGATCTCCTTTTATGAGTTAAGACATTTACAACTGCTGATTCATGTATTTCTCTTCATTTAAGCAGAAATGACATGACTCAGTTAAGAATTTTAAATAAACATTACTCAAACTTAAATTGTACATATATATCTGGCAAAATGCCCTCATAATCATCAGCTGATTCAGGATGTTCCCGTTTTTTGATATTTCATGAATTCAAGAATCTATATACAGTGTTTTTTTTAACTTAAAATGATCGCCAAATAAACCCACCACATTTCTCAAGTAAGCCAATTCGGCATCTGAACCACTCGTCTTTGGTTTACCATGAAATGCAATTTCAATCACAAATCCCGACATATTTTCTGAGCTTTCATCCACACAATATTTCTGTTTTAAAGCATCTGTAAAGGACTTTTTCCTTTTCGTTCTCTGTCTTGGTCTTTCTTGCGCCATCTTGCTGACCAGTGGTATGAAAATATGTAAGATTTCTACACTATTCTATGGAAATATATTTTTAGCTATGATTTCAGTAGGTCAAATGCCACCTCGCTAGTTTGTTTTTGTTTTCCTTTGCATGGTGTACTAAGTAAAAAGTATAGCAAGTATAACAAAACTTTATCAAAATTAAATATTCTGAAGCAAACAAAATATTAAAATGAACATGTTGGTTTTAGAATACATACATTACGATAACAAAATTATTTTTTGTTTATATTTTCAAATATTTTTTTTCACAATGTGTATCAACTCTCTCTTTTCACTTGTATATCTTTCCTCCATTTTTAATTTGGAGCACCTCTGATTACTTGACTAAACGGTGTATGTGAATCACCACAGGTAAGTAAGTCAGAAAGTAATGACTATTTTTAGAGGGTTACACAGTTAGAACAAATCTAATATTCCATGAGATGTATACTCGTACTATTTAGGGGCCTATGAGAGTGTGGGTGGGGTTTACTGAATAGAGAATAATGGCCCAAAAAACAAAGAATAGAGACAAAATGGGAAAAAAGAATTGAGAATAATGGGGTGCTAAAATATAAAGAATAATTATGTAAAAATAAAAAATAAATTGAGGTAAAAAAAATACTGATAATGTCACGGATTACAGAAATAAATGAAATCGTGCGTTTTCTGCACATAACATTTCTTAATGATAATTGACAATAGACTATGATACAATGTCGAAATTATCGTAATTGGAACTGTTTCATTGATCTATAGCCATTCCAATTCTATACATTTGTAAGCATCGATATTATTCCTCTGAAAACAAGATAGATCTTGCACGAAGTAAAACAATCCCCATGATGGCCATGGGCTGAAAACTGAGCTGTTAATTACATTTAATCCCTCCAAAACCGAAACCCTTTTATTTTCTAGAAAAGACATAAATCCTCCTTCTTTATATTTTGGTATTGGTGGGGATCAAATAAAAGAAGTTAAAAGTCACTGTCACCTAGGTCTCAACTTTGAGAGTAAGGCTAGTTGGAAATTACATATAAATGCAATTTATAAAAAAGCATGTTCTAGATTACATTTATTAAAACAATTAAAATATAGTTGGATCGAAATGTACTTATTACAATTTATACAGCATGTATTCGCCTATTCTAGAATATGCAAACATTATAGGGGATAATTGTACTTTACAAGAAGCTAACTTATTGGAAAGTGTTCAAATTGAAGCTGCTCGTATTATTACTGGTCTCCGACGTACAACTTCTCTTAAAAAATTATACACTGAATTAGGCCTTGAAAAATTATCAGACAGAAGGAAGAAGCATAAACTGACTACATTTTATAAAATAATAAACAGCTGCGCCATGAGCGCATGATACGCCCGTCGTCTTGTGTGTGAATTTTTATGCAATAATCATAGATAGTTTCTGACATACGGCACGACATGCGAAAACCCCCCTTTTTTTCACAAAAACTCAATATCTCTACAATAAAATTTTGAATCAAAACTAAAAAGTATACAGATCTTAATATTAATAAAACTAAGAAGTGTGTAAAATTTTAAGCAATAGTCATAAATCATTTTTGAGATACGGCGCGACATGTGAAAACCCCCTTTAAAAAAATCAATTATATCTCTAAAATAAAATTTTGAATCAAAACCAAAAAGTATACAGATCTTTAGATTAATATAATTAAGAAGTGTGTAAAATTTTAAGCAATAATCATAAATCGTTTTTGATATACGGCGCGACATGTGAAAAACCCCTCCCCCTTGTTTACAAAATACTCAATAACTCAAAAATAAAATTTTGAATCATCACCAAAAAGTATACAGATCTTAAGATTAATATAACTAAGAAGTGTGTAAAGTTTTACGCAATAATCATAAATTGATATTGAGATACGGCGCGACATGTGAAAAAAAGCACACCCCTGTTTTAGTTACTAAGTCCCGTAACTCAAAAAGTTTTAATCTTATTTTCACCAAAAAGTATACAGATCGTTTGACCATCATGACAAACAACTATGTTAAATTTCATGAAATTTGGATAAGTCGTTCTCAAGTAACGGTGCGACATGTTTACGCCGGACGGACAGACGGACAGACGACATTTGTATACTATTAATTAAGTACACTGTTATTGGACTTAATATGATGAAAACTGCCTATGCAATATAAAGGTGTCAACTCGGCCAATACAGAATATCTCGGCCAATATAGATTTTTTTTCTGTATTGGCCGAGTTTTGATCCGGCCAATACAGGATTTCGGAACGTCTCTAGTTTTTAGATCGAAAGTCACGATAAACACAAACTGAAAGTAAACAGTTGTTTGGAAGACGCAGTTTTCATTTACTCACCATAAACATGCTGAAACGTTCAGTATGGCATATATTTCAGGCTTAAGACGGTCACATTCATTTAAAAAGCATTTTGAAAGCAGACGATGGAATTATTTCAGGTTTGGGAAACGAGTAGATTATCACAAAGTTCATTTCTTGTCGACCTCATAATTTCACGATGGTACAAATCGATTTACTGTTTACTTTCGCTTCTCATGTTTTGTAAACTGTCATTTATTTTTAAACCCGAACCAGGCATATGCATTTTGGAAGGGTGACCTGTAATTGTGCAAATCTTCATTCTTTGGTCAGTTGGCTTATGGATAGTTGTATCATTTTCAACTCCTACATTATTTTTTCAGTTTGTTTCTGCATAACACGTGCAATGACAGTACCTTTCCAATTACTATTTATGTGTTGTGTCTAAATTTAAATTGTAACACTTTATAGTGACTGGGAAGGGTAGAAAAATTCATCAGATGAGAAAATGCTGAAGACACCTGGAAACGACACCAGATCATTAGATAGAGCATCTTATAAAAAGAAACTGAGATTTGGATAGTTCCACTTCAAGGTAAAAATGTTTATATCTCTTGTGAAATGAAATAAAAAAAATATTGTAACACTGTAGTTAATTAATAAAGATACTATTACAGATGAAAAACCTCAGGCCAATACAGCAAGCCTCGGACCAATAACAAGGCCAATACAGAAATACTCACGTAATAATATCATAATATGTCCCGTCAAAATTTTGACGGGCATATAAAAAATGGATTCTCTCCAAGTTATATGATAGATTTATTAGAACCTTGTCTTCCCACACACAATGATTACAATCTTAGGAGAGATTCTCAGAATTATACCATCGAAAGGTGCAGAACAGTTTCATATTTCAGAAGTTTCATACCATCTGTTGTTAAACTCTGGAATGAATTAGATAGTAATGTAAGAAATGCTTTGTCGATTAACCAGTTCAAATCTGTACTTGATAAAATATATAAACCAGAGATTCCTCCTAAATATTTTTGTTCTGGTTTAAGAAAATTTAATATTATTCATTGTCAATTGCGAAATGAAGCAAGTAATTTAAATTCGCACTTGTTTCATGATTTTTTTATTGAAGAATCTTCCTGTCCTAAATGTTTATATCAATGTGAGGACAATCAACATTATTTGTTTGATTGTCCATCATACACTTTAAACAGGATCCTACTCCTTGATAAACTGTCTACTTATGAAGTTGATATTGATTTAAAGTTATTTCTATTTGGTGACCAATCTATGAGTATTGAAGACAATATTCAGATAGTTAAGCCTGTTCATGAATACATAAAAAAAATCAGAGAAATTTGTATAATGAAATATATTTAATAGTCCAAAACTAAATAAACTTTTACTTTGTATGTCTGTATTTTATTTTATATTCAAGTTCTTAGACCCCAACTGGCTGAAAAATGATTAACATTCAAACAAAAATTAAAAAATAAACGACAATATATATTTTAATTGATATTATAAAAACTAATAAACTAATAAATGCACCTCTATTTTTCTATACCATTCAAACCATCTTTTGTAATCTTTAGTTTCTTAAATCTATTGTTTTCTTATTTTTTTTTTATGTTTTCCTATTAACATTCTAATTTTTTTATATATTATTATGATTCTTTAATGTATCAATATGGTTACTACTCACTGTCATTATTCTTCAGGTGCGACAAATTAGTAAAAATAAGTACATGATATCAAACATGTTGTTTTGAAAAATGAGTTATTAAAATTATAATATTGAACAGCTGACTGGAGACTGTTTAATTTAATGTAGGGCCTCTAAATCAATGTTGGAGTTTATTACCTAGAATATTAATATTTCTTTTTCTTTTTTTTCTGAGTTAACTACATGTATTTGAAGCATTCTTAGAATATTGATTTCATACTTTTTATCTGAGTTAACTATTTGAAGCATCATTCCAGTCACCTATGAGGTATTTTGGGGAAATTAATTATGTGTTGCCATTATGTTTGTGTATGTGTTGCTTTGTTTGAATGTAATATATTGTACCTTGTTTTATGGAGAGGGCTTACATAGGCTATGCCTGTTGCCCAATCCAATTCAATTTATTTGAATATAATACTGTTTAAACTAATCTCGAAGTGTCATTTCGTCCGTTATTGCAGACGAAGTTTTTCTCCATCCTTCTCCTGCATTGTGTCAGCAATGATTACATATTACAAAACCGATTAAACAGTTTGTAAGTGACTTTAGACCAGGATAATCATTGACAACAAAAAGAAATGCAACAGAAGGGAATTGCAGAGACAAAAAGTCTCTTTTGCCGGCATGATTCTTCCGTCTGAGTTTCAATAGATAAAAAAGCAACAACAAAAAAGCGCAAAATTCTTAACTTACTGTGGCATGCATTAAAAGACCTAGCGTGACCATTTTAATCAAATTAGAGTCATATTTGTAAGATCCATATTTTATTGCAATTTAAAACGACAATTCATCGGAAATGGCTGGAAAACGGATGCTCAGGGACAGATGATATTGTCTGATTTTTTGGGGTGTAAACATTTTGATATTTGCAACAAAAGTAAAACGCTGGTACGGTATCTGATCGTATCTGAAGAAGTTGTTTAAAGCATTGATGACATCATCTACCCCACGTAGGATGTTATCACTATAGGTTTTGTAAATCTAATTCAGGTCTCTAGTTTTTAGCGTTAATTGGTCCCTTGTTTACCAT